CTCTCTGTTCCTGTTTCTAGTAGTTTAGATTATCTAAAATTTCCATTATGTTTGTGCTTATAGGCATCATATTCTGGTAGCAAAAACTCAGACGGTCCTTTTAAACCAGGGTTGGAAAGTTTGACTGTGTTTCTGTTCTAAATGTGATTTAACTTCCATTCTCAGTGTCTTATTTTGGTCTTATTTTAGAATATTTTCTTTAGTCACAAAACCTGCTGGAAGTCTAGCCTGTGGGGGCACGTTTTGCACCGCAGGTATAAAAACGTCAAATTTCTGTATTTGAAGAAACAGCTTTGGAAGACAGGTATCTGCTGTGTCATCTGTGAACCTCCACGCTGACATAATGGGGTGCGATTGAGAGATTGTGGTCTGCTGCTGCACCAGCTACACTCTTTTTAATAATTCAGTTGTTGATTCATGTTAACTTTCACCTTTCACCAGCATCTACATGTTGCATGCAGCTGGGTTGTGCGTTGACTGTGGTCAGAATGCGCACCAGTAGCTTGCCAGTCACTGCGTTATTTAACAGATTTTTCCCACTGGCGCATTAAATTAATATGATTTTAAAATTTAGATTTTATTTAATTTGTCTCTCTCTCATTGAGGCACCAGTGTGCATGAGCTTGAACTGTATTGACAGTTCACGCTTGCGCCTCTTTGAAATGAATGTGTGTGTAAGGAGAGCCTACATTGATCCATTTGTTAGAAATGCTAGTTGATCCCATCTCATCAGCTCCTTGTTTCACCGTTAGATTTTTGTCAATTACAGACTGCTCCATATTTGTCACATGTGTTTTTAAGGTGGTTTTTAGACATAAGCTAAAACAGTTAATTTGGTGAATGTATGTTATTCATATTTCTTCCTGTTTGACCTGAAAAGATGGTTTAAAAAAAAGATGTGATGTCCCAGTTTACTTGTAAATAGACTGGTTCTTATGTAGTGCTTTCCTGTTCTACTTAAGCACCTAATGGGCTTTTTTACGACATGTATTTTTAACCCATTCACATACAGATTTATACAAGCACTTTTTTCTTAGTCTAAGTACATTTACACACACATTCACTCTCAGGAGCACTATCACTATCTTGCCTAAGGATACTTTGGCTTGCAGACCACCAACCTTCTAATTAGTAGATGATCTGCGCTGCCTCCTGAGCCACAGCCGGTCCTGTACAGCCTGCATCTGCCACACTGTCTTCACTAACACAGGAAACTATATGATACATTGTGAAAAAAGGTCCCCCGATGAATAGGCCTATATTACTTTCTTTTCGTGCTGGGAGTTATATAAACTCCTTTTGTGTCACTGTCTCAGTAGCTGCTGTACCTGAATCTATGCAACTTCACTGTTTATTTTTTAATGCTAATGGCACAGATGGTACAACATTGATCACCTGGTGATTATATTGGAAAAATAATGATGAAGATTGCCGAAACACAAAAAGCAGTCATTGCTAAACACAACGATCCTGCCCCAACTCCCCATCTAGACAGATTCGTTTTTGTCGTTGTAGCGAATCATTTGTTCACTATAATAAAGGTCTAATGAGATCTAGATGAAAAAGTCAAACCCAGACAGACAGAAGTTGAAGTTCATCGTCTACTGCTTAAGAAACAGAGTCATTTATGGATATTTGTATGAAATTAAATTTTAAAAAATGCTTCATTAGGGTTATTTCAGTGAAGGAACCTCCTGTGAGCCAACTGAAGTGTGAAAGGAATGTGTATTAAATGTGTATCAGCGTCATTATATCGCAGATAGATGCTTTGCCTGTATTACAAAGCTTTCAAAACTTCACTTTCTGTGTACACCAGCAGCGGAATTGATTAATAATAATATGCCTCTGATCTTGAATAACTTCAAATCAACACTCGGCGATTCACACGCAACATCAAATTAAGTTCATTAGAGACTTGAGATTAATTTATTCCTCGCTTTTTCGGTCACTGGGAAGATAGTATCAGACACCCGAGCGCAGCGCGAGCGTTTCGCACCTTGATAATTAAAGGCAGTTGTTTCTCAGTGAGCAGATGATGTGTGACATAACACTGAAAAAAATATTGAACTCATCTGCTTGTTTAGTGTAGTGTAGTAACTATCATGTCAGTGTTTTTCAAGATTTTTGTTGATTCTTGTTGAAGATTAAGACATGGCGTGAGATAAGTAGACCTTCTGACTCTCTGAATGGCCTTTTCTCGCCACAGCATCTTCTCTTGTTGCCTTGTTTTCTTCACCCACCCCCACCCATTATCATGGGTCTATCTTTGGCATGTTAACTAATGTGCGTAGAGGGATCACATGCGGCGCCCAGCGGGCCTCCTCTCGGCTTGAAGCGCACATAATCAAGGAGCACCAGAGTTCAATTTTATAGTGCTTAATTAATTCTCTAGAATTCATTTCATTTGATTTTAGTGCTCCCGCTGGCTATTTCAGCAGTACACACAAGCAAGCAAAAAGTTAGTGAACCCTCTGGAATTACCGTGATTTCTGCAATGATTACTCATATTATGTGGTCTAATCGTCATTTGACTTGTGAGGTTAAAACAACCAAACACTGGTGCTTTTCATCTCTTTTCAGACTGATTAATCACATTGTGCAAGCTGGAATAAGCAACAACATACATTAGATGTTTCCTTTGGCTAATTATGAAAACAGTAAGCATCTCAGTTAAGCTTAGGTCAGGAATCTGAATCCAAGATCTCATTTAGTTATTTTTATTTGAAGAATGCAGGTCAGTGGCTTATTGCATCTTCTTTTCTTTTCTTTTTCTGCACTGATATTTTCCCCTGGTACAGTTTGAAATTCAGTTTTTCTCTTAGTATTTGCAAGGCGTCCAGACCTAGAAGTAGAAAGCAGCCCAAAATCATGATGCTTCCTCCACCATGTTTCCTCAAAGCTGTGATAGTAGTTTTATGTGATTTGCCTTTATGCTTCAAAATTTAGTTTACCTTAACTTTTTTGTTTGTTGTTATTGAGACCAGGTGTTTCCTCTGTGATGCTAACAGTATTCTTATTCAGCTTTTTCTTTCTTTCTAAATTGGAAACATAGATTGCAGTTTTGTTCCTACATTTGAGGGTTTTTTTTAACTTCTTGCAGGACTATACTTTGTATGTTACATATTTGCAGTAAAATTACTTCTAAGCAGAGGAGTACTGCAGCACTCGTGAATTTGCTCTCTTTGTGAACGATTTGAGGATTAAGGAACGTGTAGGTCTTTTGTAATACGCTGTTGTGTATTACAAAAGACCTATTGAGATATGACTCACACTGGCCACTCTTTGTCAAAAAGAGCAAATTTTGTGAGTAACCACACTTTAGGCACCTTTATTTGCTGAGAAAGGCACCTCTCCAACACCTCCAGTCTCATCTCCTTAATTGCGACACCTGACTCCAAGCAGCTTTGGGGGAAACTGTAAGCACAGACAACCTTTTACTTTTTCTGACCTGCACCATCAGTGTCTACTCAGTGTGTTTGATAAAGACATGAAAACTCTGTGTTATTCGTTTGATCAGATTGTGTTTTAATAAACACTTACCGGCCACTTTATCAGGTGTTCGGCTGTTCATTATTGCAAATTAAATTCTAATCAGCCATTCAAATGGCAGCAACTCGATTCATTTAGGCAGACAGACATGGTTAAGACAACCTGCTGAAGCCCAAACTGAGCTTTAGAATGTGAAAAAAAGTGCTTTAAGTGATTTTGAAGGATGCATGGTTATTGATGCTAGACTCATATGAGTATCTCAGAAACTGGCGATCAACTGATTTTCCCCCCAAACAAGCATCTCTAGAGTTTAGAGACTGGTCCCAAAAGGAGAAAATATCCAGTGAGCGACAGTTCTCTGGGCAAAAATGCCTTATTGATGGCAGAGGTTAGAGTGCTTTGAGCTGGTAGGAAGGCAACAGTAATAAGGAAAAAACACATGAACACATTGAACCTTGAAGCAGAACAGCAGCAGAAGACCAGATCGGGTCCTGGTCCGGTCAGCTAAGGGGGCTACAGTTGGCTTAAAAAAATGGTCACTAGAAGGTAGTAAAAATGTTGCCTGGTCTGAGTTTTGATTTCTGATGTTTTGGTGTGCAGGATGTTTTCTTTGCACACTCTTGTCCCCTAATTTAGACTTCTATGGGAAGTCTATTTCATAAGTTAAGATGCAGCCATAAATTCCTTTTAATCATAAACCAGATCATTCCACGTGAACTGACCATCACTGAGAAATGTCGCTATATGTCCGAATGACGCAGCCAACGACTGAATAACGCGTAGGTTTAAGGCATAAATTACGATATAGACTTCCTAGAGAAGTCTTAATCTGGCAAGAACCAACTGAGCATAATTGACATCATGAAGAGTTAATAAACTGAGTACTCAGTGAGAGTTACTGAAAACAAGCAGTTTATCTCACCCTGATGGTGAGATTTTCTGCCGAACTGGCAACGTAACAATTGCATAATGGTGCAAGATCAAGTGATTTGCTGCCACGGTCTCTTTTTGCAGTGTGCCATCCCCCAAGACAAAAACCTCTCCAGTTCTGCTGCAGTGACTCAAAGTGTATACTTTTGTCATAGACCCCTCGCCAGTCACTGAAAAACATATGTGATCACTTTGTAAATGGGGAAGGAGATCACAAAGACTATGCTGACTGATATCCACAGGCTTAATGTTCAGACTGTTTTCATTTCTTTTTCCTTTGCTACTTTTCCAAAACTGTCAGCTGGACATGTTAGATCTCCACAAGCTCTTGATCACAGACAT